AACACTGCACTGGGACCTCTCCGCTGGGTTATTCTAGAGCCACAAGACAATAGAGTTGAAAGGACCCCTTGAGATCAACAAATCCAACCCTAGAAATCCAAATTAACACTTCCCTGAATGGGTGGGGGTCCTCCGCCTGAACACACCCAATAAAGGGACCCCCTCGTTTGGCTCCATGTATTTTTCTTGCTGTTTTTTTTTTTTTAAAGAAGCCGCCTCGAGTTTCAAGAAAAGCGAGGGCGTGCCTTTTAAAATAAATCAGCCTTCAGCGTGCATTTCTGGCCCTCCCGACAGCCATCTGCAGACACACTAGGGGTGGCAAAACGCGGGCATTTCGTTGCCAGCCGCATCCACGACGGCCCTTCAGCTGCAAAGCTCCTGAACGTTTTTGGGAAGCATCGCGAAAGGGCAGGGGAGGCTAAAAATAAGCATTGAATTGTTCCATGGTGGCTGGTTTTCCTGCTCCTTGCTCAAAGGGCATCCTGGCGAACCTGGCTTGCATCGAAGGATCACGCCGCGCCGGCTGCCCGCCAGCTCCAACCTCTAAGCTGGGTTTCAGTTTCTCCCATCAAAGCTGGCTCTGGTTTGGGCTAATCCTAGCTGACGTTGAAAAGCTGGTCTTTCTGACGGAGGCTGCTTCGCCAGGGTGCACCAAACAAACATCAGAAGAGGCCATCTGTTTACCATCAAAGGTAATACGAGAGATTCACAGACGCAGACCATGTCAGATCCTGGTTTTTCTCTTGCCCCCCCGCCCCCGATCCATTAACTACCCCATCGGCTTCGTTCCCTGCAAATTAGACATGGAAATGCAAGGTTTGCATTTAACTTCTTAAGAACCGCTTGCCCTCAACAGCCCAGCCTGGATCATTTGTTCACCCTCAACCCATCACCAAGAGTAGAAAGCATTTCTTCCCAACTCCACCGTCATCTTTCAATAAATATTATGAAATCACTCATTGGTGGACTCCAAGTTTTGACGTCCAGAGTTTTTGCCCTGAATTTCTCACCCCGGCGTACCACGGAAGAGGTCATGCTTTCCCCACCGAGCTTAGCAGCGGCTGCATTTCTCTTCCACGGGTTGTTGGAAAGGACGTTAGATTAAAAAAAAATAATAAGACCACGCCGCAGCGTGCCAAACCAGAGGGACAAGTCATACAACCGTGGGACAAGAGGATTGCAAACACCAGAATGCATCACAGCCGAGGGCCAGGCGACGTTTTTTTGCCTGAAAGTATTTGCAAACATTTACCCTGGCTTAAAAGAATGGCTCTTTTGTTCTTCCTCCGTGTGCAAAACCAGATTGGAGAGGCATGATGTCAAAGCAACACAGGAGGAAGACAAATGGTAGCTCGATGCAGACTCCAGAAGGGTGGTTGAAGCCGTCCCGCATCACCGCGTTTCCTGGGCCGAAGGCAGGTTTGGATCGGGTCGCCCGCTCTCGGCCCTGACGTTCCTCCGAAACAAGCCCCGAACGCTGACCCTGCGTGGCTCCCCGACCCCGTCTTTGCGGCTGAATAACAAAAACAGTGACGTCGGAGAGCTCCAGGTTATAAACAGCAACATGGAAAGTTTGCATTGTGTGGGCTGGCATCTCAGAAAGCCACGAAGGCAAGTTGGATGTGGTCCAAGGGAAGGGTTGAAGAAAGAGAGGAAGAGGAGGATGCCGAGGTAACCGGGGGCATGGGGGGATCGGTCCCCGGATTTTTCATTTGGGGACTGGAGGGGTGGACTTTCTCTTACAAGTGGATAAGATGCACCCCGTTAGCCTTGAGGGAGAAATATGCATTTTAGTCCTTCACGGGTCTTTGCAAGTCCGCTGGGCGCCAAGGGTGGAAAAATGCAGCTTTTGCAATCTCTCTAGACTTCTCGGAGTACTTTTTCTCGCTCCGCTTCCGTGCAAAAAGTTCCTCGGCAGTCTTAGATTTGTGCGGAGCGTCCCCAGAGTAAAGCATGAGACCTTCTCCTCTTTTCATCCAGGCCTTTATTCTCCCTCCCTTTCTTTCACTCTCGCACAAAACCTTTCACCCCGGCCAGGCGTTTTCCGTTCGCTTTGGCTTCCGTTCAAGGGCGAGAAGAAAAACTCCTCTGCGCGTGTTCAGAGGCACCCTCTTCCTTTGCCAAATGGGGCAGCAGGTTTGCCGGGGAGCACGAACAATAGAAGACGGTGACGCTCAGGGAGATGGAGGGACAGGGGTGCATCTCGCACACCCCTTGCCAAATGTGCGCCTAAGTTTGCCGTTTCTGACCCTCCTGCTCCTCCTGGCATTTCTAAATTTCTCCCAGGGCCCCGGCCAGGACACAATCACATCAAACAGCTTAGAAGTGTTTAGTCACACTTGGCCAAGCAGCCACAGTGACAGCTCAGGGTGGATGTGCAAATCACCTTTGGGGGCTCCCTCCAAAGCAGAAGAGCGATCGGCGAGGCGTTCAGGAAGAGAAAGGTTCCTGACCCACATTTTTCTTCTGCAAAGCATAGGACGTTTCGTCCCCGCTGCAAAATGCCAGGAACCATGAAAGGGAGGAGGAGGAGGAGCGTCCTCTGGGCTTAAAAGTGTTTTTTCCCCTCTGCCAGAAATGACGTGTGAGAAAGAGAGGGAACTCTCCTTCAAGAATTCATCAGGACTTGAGGCTTCGTCGTTTTCTGTTCACGTGCGTGGGGGAAATCTGACTTCTTTTTTTCTTTGGGGTTGGAAACTTTTTTTTTCCAAATGAGTAACTAGTCCTCATGAGGTTCAGAATCAGAGATTGTTCTCAGCCCCTGAAGCTGGTAGCAGGAAGCTCAGACTTAACTCTAAATCCTGTTGGCAGGCGGAGTGGTGCAGTCTTGGCGGGTCCTAACTGGTTCTCCTTCCTTTTCCTCCCAGATCAACTTGAGAGAATGCGTCCCGATGGCTCTCCCTTCTGCCTTGGGGCGGCCTGATGACTTTTCTTCCCGCTGGCTGATCTGAGATGTTTTCCAAGCGAAAGACCCCCAACATCCAACCCGCTTGCCCCAACGTGCTGACCCCCGACAGAATCCCCTCGTTTTTTATCCCACCCAACCTCGCCACCCTGCAAGGCCGGCGTTCAGCCGGGAGCCCCGGAGCAAGCGAGGCCCCAGCCCCGCCTTCCAAAAACGGGGGCATCGCGGTGCAGGAGGGAGGCCGGGCCAGGGCACGACTCCGGGGCGCTTCCTCCACGTTCCAGCTCCCGAGCCCGGTCGGTTTGGTGTATCTGCCAGAAAGCCCCAACACGTGGCGGCGGGAATCGCTGTTCCACAGTGGGCCCCTGCCCCGTCGGTTCCAGGGGGGCTGGCTCTCCTCCCCACGCACGAGGCCCCTTTCCCAGCCCAGTCGGGGTCCGGACAGTGACACCGCCTCTTCCACCGAAACGTCCCCGAATAATTCCCCGCTGCCATCGTGTCCTCTCGGCGGCCTTCTGCCTGGCCAAGGCAGCGGGCACCGTCGGCGACTGGCATGCCGTTCCGCCCACGCCGGTGCGGCCCCGCGGCCAAGCTCCTTCTCCACGGGGGAGACCAGTTCCACAGACACCAGCCCCTCCTGCCTGCGCCGGGAGATGGATGCCCCCTGGGCCGTGCCCCGTTTCCCCCTGGACTTGATCCGTTGCTGCCAGCGCCTCACCAAAGAGGTGACGCTGACGGTCAGCCAAGGCGGCCGGCTGCGCCTCTCCAGCGAGTATCTCCAACCGCAAAGGAGCCTCCGGGTCCGGCTGGTCAGCGCCGAAGGCTTCTACCCACCCCACGGCGACCCTCGGCACATCCACTGCTGTGTCGCCCTGCAGCTGCGCCCGGGCCTGGGCCAAAGGCAGCGCAGCGCCATCGTCAAGAGGAGCCGCAACCCCATCTTCAACGAGGACTTTTTCTTCGAGGGGGTCCCTCCGGAGGATCTTCCCCGGCGCAGCCTGAGCATCAAAGTCCTCAACAAAGCCTGCAGCCTGCGGCGCGACGTGGTGCTGGGCGAGTGCGACGTCCCGTTGGATTCTCTGTTGCCCTGAACGGGGGGGCGGTCCTGGCAGAGGAGGGGCCGGTGGGCTGGGAATGGCACCGATGTCCTCCTGGATGGCAGGAAGGGCAACAGCTGGTTCTCCGTCTCCTCGCCAGTTGAGGGAGATACTGGGAATGGGCCCCCATCCACCTCTGGAGGGCCTCTGGAGGATTCTGGATCTGGGCCACGGCCACCAGGGGGAGCTCTGCGGCCCTGGTCACCGCTGCCCCCTTGAGGCAGAAGGCGGTACAGCAGGGGCTGGTTTGAGATGGTACACAGGGAGCAAGGAGGCTCCATCCGGCTTCAATTCAAGCCACCTGTTTAGGCCCTGGCGGCAAACTCCGCAGCGGGGAGGCCAACCCAGAATGGTGGTGTGGCAGCCGAAATGCCAACGTTTCCCCCCCAGTCTTGCAGGGGGTTGGACCGGCATTAAATCAAGGGTTGGACTAGATGACCTTGGCGTAACCCAAGCCTCTTTCATCCAGCTGATGCCCTTCTTGAAGCCCGAATGAGTCGATTCCTTTCCAGAAACTCCACCTTCTGTTGAAAGCCTTTTTCCCGGTCTGATTTCACGTAAAGTTGTTCTGTGTGTGTGTTGAAGTAACAAATGGGAACTTTGGGCTCCATTAAAGATACAAACCTGGATTCACATGGAGGGTTTTGATTGTTCGCACCCGGTTGGGCTTTCTTGGTCGCTGAAATGGGATACTCTGTGGTTTTTTAACCAACTTTTATACAGCTGCCCAATTCGAGTGTCCGACGTGGGCCACCAGGGGGCAGCCTTTCTCTTCGGAGCGCCTCGCGGGTGCCAGGCCGCCCCCAGCCACCAGGGGGAGCCCTTTGGCCTGTACTTTTTTTCCCCTCCCTCTATGGCAGACTCGCAAACCCTCAAAGCGGGTTGCAAAGCGAAGTCGCAACCGAATGCGATAAAAGCAAGGAACGGCGGATTAACTCATACAAATGCGCGGAGTCCCATCATTTGCATTTGGGAGGAGACTCCGGACGCCCCCAGTTCGCTTTGAAAGATCATTTTCCCTGCCTTTCCCCGTTGCAATGCCCAGCCCAGCCACAGGAGGACATCGCTTGGCCCCGGGGATGCTTTGCAAGGCTTAGAAAGGGACTTTTCATTGTCACGCCTTTTATTTCAGATTCCTTCTTCCCTGTTTCTGATGTGGCCAAGCCCCCAAAAGGAACAAGGAATCGTGCGTAAATCTGAATTTTGCCCGGTTTTTTGGGGACCAGTTTAGGGAACGCCTGCCATTCCCGGTCCCACCACAGGGGGGCGCGCTGAGACCAGCATTCTCGTTATTCCAGATTCCCTGGGAAAAATCAATGATTTTCCCTCTTGTATCCCTGGCAAATATGTTGAGCCCCACATGCCCTCTTCCCTTCCTGCACCTGACTGGTTTGCTAACTTTTAATTAGGGAAAGTACGATCGGGATAGCTCCCCACCTCCAGAACTGGAATATCTTAGATTTATTCTGAGCAGCACTGAGGACTAGTATCATGATGGTCCTCCCTTTAGCAAACATATGGTGGGCCTACGGGTTCAGTTGCAATGGGGTTGAGCTCAGGAACAATGCATTCCCCCAAAAGAGAATATCTGTTTGGCCCTGAGAGTTATAAACAGATAGCTCTCAGATTGAAAATAAATTAGCTGCCTTCTAAATTATAATAATAATTTCTTTTCTCTTTCTTTCTTTCTTTCTTTC